GCACACACTTGTATCCATATGGAGATTGTAAATCACACAGTTGTATTCATATGCAGATTGTAAACCACACACTTGTGTTCATATGGAGATTGTAAAGCACACGCTTGTATTCATATGGAGATTGTAAACACACAGTTGTATTCATATGGAGATTGTAAACCACACACTTGTTTCCATATGTAGATTGTAAAGCACACACTTGTATTCATATGTAGATTGTAAAGCACACACTTGTACTCATATGGAGATTATAAAGCACACACTTGTATTCATATACAGATTGTACAGCACACACTTGTATTCATATAAACTGCAACAAACATGTTGTATAGAGAACATACAGCCACTCATAATAGCACAATCCAAATGCAGAAATACTGAATACTGGGCAAGGAATTTATTCCTATTCATAACATATTAATTAAAAGAGAATATTTAAAAAGAATAAAACAATGTTTGTAAAATGTAATATAATGCTTATAGAAAACAAAGCAAGTTGACAATGAAATGTACAATGTGATTATGATTCGGTTACAAAGGTCGCTTTAGGTGAACTAACAGGACACAATAACTGAAACATGTTACCCAAGTTTATTTTCTCCAGTGTATAAAAATATATTTTGTCTGAGAATGAATGAAGAAAGGAGAAAATACTTGGTTAGAAAATAAATAATAGTAATATGTACAATTGTTTTAATATTGTGGTTATAAATAAGTCTTGCATATGTTAATTTAGATGCAATAATTGTATTTACATAATTGGGGTTCAGTTTGTCTAGTACTATGAGACCACACAGTCTGATTTAACATGTAGTTACCAGTGTTTGCTGCTGCACAGTAATAAGCTACTAGAGACTAGTAAGCAGTGATTACCCCCTCAATGGGTTATTTGCCTTTACAAAGTAATTCTTTGAAAACAAACGATTTGGTCCAATTGATGAGAGTGAACTGAGTAGGTAATCGAGTGCAAGGAAAACCCTCAGCCACTGATGGCATGGTCAAATTACATAGATTAAGTGACGGTGCTTTTTAGCATTCTTTGACGTGACTAATTTGTAAACTAATCACAGAGTGTCTAGGTGTGTTAGTGGCACGTGCAGGTCACTATGCTATTGTGACATCAGGAAAACAATGATATCGGTAACAGGTCTCATCTTGAATTTGAGAATGTCAACTATGTGGGTACACACGAGTATCGTTTACTTTTCGTACGCACATTTCCACAAACCGTTGAAGTTGTAAACTTTTGCGAAATGGACAAAACGATTTGGATGAGTAACAAATCTACTAAGAGTAGTCTGAACAGGTAAGATAAAACCACCCAAACAATCCAGTTATTAGATTTGACCTTTGACCTTGAATCACACATCTTTCGTTTTTTGTAAGTGCTAATTTATATATCACATTAATGACATCATCATCATTATTATAAAGTGCAACGTTTATGTCAGTTTAATGCTTCAACAAACCAGAGTTCTTAACTCGCAGATTTTAATTTCAGACAATGATACTGAAGTCAATTTTGTACACTTTTAAAATCGTTCGTTCATTATCGGTAAGAATATGGTGTTGTAATCTATAAGTGACATCATTGTTATATGCAAATTTTCAGATATCAGTTAATAACATCATTGTTATATGCAAATTTAAGTTTCAGCTGATGACATCATCATCGTTGTTATGCAAAAGCTCTCTACTTTCATTGTCAATTGGGAAATCCTGATACTAGCTGGTGACATCTTTTCAACCAAATTTGTTTCTGGTCCCAGTAATGTCTAGCGATAACATGCCAAACTGTTACTGACCCAGAAAAGGTAGAAAAAAGTGCACTGTTTTATAACAAATCACTACATTGGAATGTGAAAAGTCAATTTGAGTCAACCCTGAACTGATTAAAAAAGGACATTCAAAATCTCGACAAAATGTTTTTCTTAAACGCTTTGAAAGGGCTATAGTCACCATTCATAGTCAGATAAATAAAAACACATTGAAAAACCTCCTTTTTTTGTCTCTTTGTACATTCTTGTTACGTGCACGTGAAAGGCTGCACGTAGGCTGCGTGATGTCAACCCGAGGGAAAGCCAGTTACGGCAAAGACACTGGTAGCTACATGCATTGACGACAGAGATTAAAGATAAATAAACTAGTATGTAATGTCTACAATGGTTTTCTATGTGATCCCTGCTGTGTGGCTCATTTTACAACTGACCTAGTCTTAACAACACTAATCCCCAAGAGAGTGGAAATAATAAGGAACAGGGAAGGCACGTACAATGGAATGATCCAGACACAAGGAGTCTTCACACCTACTGTATTTAAAGAAATTAACAACACATGATTGAATAAGTGTACTTAATTTTGCATATTTGAATATTATGGATGGATTTGTCCACACACAGTCAAGATACTTTCTAGGTATGATAATGTGGAAAGGGCAACAGCATTATTATAATCTAAACATAGGATTCTTCTGAGAGACATTGTGAAACATTATCTTCTGAACTTGTTGGAGTAATGTTTTTGGCAGTGTTGGGAACTCTCTGTTTTAGTCCGGAAGGAGTCTGGTGTGGTGAAAAGTCTGATGTGCAAGAATCACAGTCACCTTTGGAATCCTGGGTAAAAAAAACTGACATTTGCAAACGTTTCTCGTAATTGTCGCTACAACTACGGTGTATGACTTTGGGCTTTTCAATCCTTGTGTCTAGTGGCTGTGAACATTTTCTCGGCAAAGTTTGCTCATTTCGTCTTGGTGTAATTATCCTTCTCTGTAAATTTGACTCGGCATAGTCACGGCGACTTTTTCTTTGATAGTCAAGCAAACTTTTTCTGGAACGTTCTTGTGGAACGTTTGGCGTATTGTCAGCATGACTTTGCTTGTCCTCGTTAGAAAGTGTCCTTTGTGAATGTACTGTTTTCATATTCTGAACTGTCAGTGCTTGTTTTGAGGTTTCTTGAATCGGCGAATGATGAAGCACTGCCCGCCGGTTCATAGCCTCTTCGTAAGTTGGTGGTGTGTGGAATTTGAGGCTCGTAGGAGGGTCTGATGCAGTCCTCCGAATTAGAGACCTTGTACTCTTAGCGTCATTATCACAAGGCGTCGACAGTGTTGACGTTGTCGCGTGTGACGGGAAAAACTCAGTAGGAGGGGAATGTTCTTTTTCCTTTTCCCCAGTATTGCATTTGTGCACACGATAGGTAGCTGGACCTGATTTATTCAACTGATTTCTTTGTATGTGATCTGCCTCGGTGAGTCCTGTCCAATCAGAAAAAGATTTAGACAGTTGCATTGTAGAAGTAGACGATTTCCCCTGTGAGACCGCATTAGGAGATTTTGGTGTAAAAGTCCTCTTTTTCGGTGCATCCTTTGGAAGTAAAACTTTACTTCTTGTTAAACTACTTTTTGAAGGTCCACGTGGAAGCGAATGATAACTTGGTGGTGGGTTCCTTTCATGTGACTCGTAACTTGGCGGTGTTCGTTTCTCCACACTGGTTTGGGGTTCGCCTACATAAAATAATTCCAAGGGAGACGTGAACTTTCGTCCCAGTTCTGGTGATAGAATTGGTCGACGGCTTTTCGTGCATTCAAAGTCAAGATCCATGAGCGAGCTTTCTGAGTTGCTACGATGTCGCATATGAAATGTTGGTGGGCAGGCAACTACTTGAAACATTGACAAATCTTTACCGGAGCTTGCGGTATCCGAGTGCATTCGACTAAACTGTGGGGGGTGTATTCTTTTAGATTGGACAATTTGCGATGGCTCCTGAAGTCCTTTGATCATATCGTTACAAAACCGCGGGCTCAGCAGCGATGAATCCAAATCTAACTCGTAGCCAAACTCCAAAATATTTTTCCTTCTCATTTCTGACAATTTCGGCCTCTTAGAGACACTGATCTTAGAATCGCTTAGTGGTTCACGTTGATAAAACATGTTGTCCTGCGGCGTACAATCAGTCGTAGAATCATCAGGCTGATGCAACAGAACACCTGGCGACACAAGCGGTTCCGACTTACGACGATGTCGCCGACCAAATCCTCGTGGAATAGCATTTGGTGAATTAGGATTGGTGGTGATGCTTCCTGTACGCATGATATTCCCGTTGGGACTTACGCTCAACATTTTGCTGTCGTAGCCAGAGTCTGTTGTATCAGTCGTATCAGATTCTGTGAACAATTGTGAATCACTTAGATGAATAACAGAATCCTTGCTCAGATTGGATGGCGAAAGCTGATTAGAATGAGTATGATACTGAGTGTTCGTTTCATTGTAGCTGAGTTCACGATCTAAACTATCCAAGGATTCATCATCTCTCTTCATATGTCCTAGTAAAATACAGAAAAGTAGTATTAATATAATAGTATTATTTTAGTAATGGTAATATTTTTGATAACTCTAAATACAACATATTTTTATTGAACTTTTTGGGTTTATTTGGTATACATTAGATATGCACTTCTAAAAATGTTGCGAATACGGGTACGTTTACTCGTACAAATACATTCTGAATGCCATAGACACAAAATCGAAACCACAAAATTACAGAACTTTATGGTTAAAAGTCGGCAATAAAATTATTGTTTATTTTCGCATAATGTAAACCAATTAAGTTTCCTCAAAACCTTTTTAAATTTTGCAGCTTAAGTAACAAATGTTGTCTTCATCTAGTACTTAATAAAGAGATTAACTATTGAGACACAATATTGTTTGTTTCATACCTGTATTTTCTGAAGTGCTGTCAGAATCCCAGCCTGATCCAGAGTCACTACTCCGCGACCGATGTCTGCTAGCTTTTATAGGTGGTGCACCGAATATACTGGTCACATTCTCACCTAGTATAGCGTGAAGGTTTTCTAAGATGTATTGCATGAGAGTTGGGATTTTCTTTGAAGCATCAGCCTGAGACAAAAAAATGAAATAACATCTTTTTTAATTGGAGAAACATGTTAATGATGAATATTGTATCTCCTAAATTGGCGAGAAAATTTATTTGAAATTTACCTATATATAGTAATTGCTTACTTATGTTTATATTCAGCATTAGACAAGACTACTGTGAAATTAAAGTCTAATTTATTCATGATACTTACAGTGACAGTGGCGCCTCGGTTACTAGGCGGCCATAGTAAACTTTGACCCACACAGATCGACAGATTGTAGGCGTTCATGTTGTTTTCCTCAGAGTTCTTATCAATGTAATGGAGAATACAGAAGAATTGCTTCACAATATCTTGATTGATCTCACCAAGTTTTTCAAAAGTCCTAGAAAATGGCAAAACAACGAACATTAAAAATTTGACTTAATAAAAATTATGAAAAGCATGTTATATTGGCAAGGGGCTTTCTGTGAAAATGAAAACAAAAATTCCAATAAAACTACAAAATGTAAACAAAGTAATTTTATTTTTTAAACATCATGAATTTGTTTTTCTGTTTTGCAGTCAAAAGAAGGACATTCCTCAATAAAATCATGAATTTAAAAAATAAATAATGAGATTAAAGTTAAAAAAAAGATCTTATTTCCGAATGAATAGAAAATGTTGAATGCTTACAATTTTAGAGTGTTTCTTTTCTCAAGCTCATCAGTCATATCATTAGCTTCCATCCAGCTGTCATACAGTGCAGTTGAAAAAATACAGTCTGGCAACCCACGAAGAAAGTCCTGGAAAATCATGAACAAATCAACCACATTAAAATACTATGCATGCAATACCATAACAACGATGGCTTTTCAAACAGGAAATAAGTGTGTTTGTCGCCCTCTATATTCTGGACTGGGAAATCTTTATGCAAATATTTAAAAGCTCTGAACAAAATAAACAATACATTTGTCTATTAGTATATTAAAAATGTCTTTACCTTCATAACTGTTGCTGTTACTAAAACAGGGTAATCGTCAAAGTTGCATTCATCGCCTGATTCCAGCTTTTGTCGGAGCTCTCTACACACTCGTGCATTTGCTGATTTTCGAAACACGCCCGTCAGGAAAGGAGCATTGTGATACAGATGTACAAGTAATTCAGAAATGGCGCTGGGCAGTTTGCCATCGGGACAAACCTGACCTAGAGGAAGTCCAAATAACCTAGCAAGAAAAACACAAACAGGTTTTCTCAGAATTTGATTCAACAGGATGGACTCCCATGTTGAATTGAAATATTTTGTTGGAAATAATTATAATGATTATTTCGTGATTGATTTGTTTACCTTGGTGGCACTGTGCCAGAATCCACACTATCTCCTGTCTTGCTAGTACTCCGTCGGAACTTGAAGTTAATCAGCGAAGTCTTTTTTTGCTTTTTAAATCTCTTTTGGGCACTAACAACGTCTGAAAAAGAAAAAAAAGCAATGGTAAGGCTTGGTAAGTATCTTATACATTCGCTTGAATACTAAACAAAGCTCCATCATGTGGTTTCTATAGCAACCGTCATAAAATGTACTTACCAAGCTTGATACGATCAGATGACTTTTGGATCAGTCGTAGTACAAAGTTACATTGCAACTCGGGTGGAAAATCTTCCATGCTGGCGTCTAAGTCAGCTGTCAGATTGACATCCTCATTTTTAAGCACATCTCGTAAATGATTCATCCTGATAGCAAATGGTATCTCATGACCTACAAGAGTAGAAAACATAAAAGTTACATTTGGAGACTTATTTAGCTGGACAAAATACCCATTACAGATATGGCAAATAAAGACAAATTGTTGCCATATACCTTATAATAATACTGAAAAACAAGAAAAATATATGTAAACTTAGCTTCAGATGCTATTTGTATGATTTAACTTTATGACTACTTACCTATGAGGGGATATGCAATTTCTTCCTTGCCAGATTGAACCCAAAGTTGGAAGTGACTGGACTGATAATCACTAAATTTAAACTGCTCTACACAAAGTCTAATCACTTCATTGCAATCGTCTGTATTACACACTGGAATTTTCTTGCTCTGAAATTAAACAGGATAAATAATTTTAAAGACATGTATCCTGTAACGTTTTTTTTTTTCATAAAAACCAAAGTTTTAACGACTCTTTTACATAAGAACCTGCATTTTAAATATTCGTATTCTTCTATCAAAATGAATCTTAATTTTGATGGTTAATACTAAGTGGATCTGGATTTGAAGGCAAATTGTACAGGAAGCTTGTAGGAAAACAGGAACACAAATTCAAATGTGACAGTTAATAAGGAAATAATTATTAAATATAATTCAACTTACATATGGGTAACAGTTTAAGTCTTGGTTAATAATTTTCAAATTTAATATTTTGGGAACTTCTTTCATGCGCTCCTCCTTGATGTACCTTTGAATGAAGACAAGTGACATGTAACTTACTGTGAACACATTAATATACTGTGGATACTATAAACCACTCAAGTTTTCACTGCTAAAAGATTTCAAGATTTTCACCGAAAAATGGTCTCTCACAAAATCTCGGCTGTTTACAGAAAGACACTGCGGAATCACTGGGTATGCACTATGAACACATAATGAAAACAGGCTGCAATCAGATAGAGGAAGTACTTCACAGTCAATTAATTATCCAGCCATAGAGGAAATAAACATGGTTGAGTTCCTGCTACTGTATTACATGACTGCTTTTATCAATCTATGTTGACTTCTTCATTCTATGTTAGTATAAAAACAGCCAGTTCAAATCTAGTTGAATTTTATTATATTTCCACAATATTTTCCAGTAATTTAGCTGATCAGTTATTTTAATTGGTTAAACTGAAATGATGGAAATTCCCAGACAAATTTGTAAAAGTTAGATATATTATAAAAACATTTTCTGCTATTTTATACTGACCATATAAATGGAAAAACTGTTTGATGAGTGTGCAATAAATATTTACACAATGGATTTAAAAGGATTATGGAGAATAATATAGCCTTAGCAAAATATTTAGAGAGCACAATTTTTGAAACCACAGAAAGTAATTAATTTTTTTTTTTGTATTTATTTATTTAACTGACATTTTTCTTTTATATATTCCCTTTTAATTTTATCTTTTTTGAATTTTATGGTTTTTGTATTTCTTTGTATTTATGTTCCTTACCATACAAAAACCCTCTGAAGGTTTTTAGTAGTGTAATAAAGTTATTATTATTATAAACCACCTAAATTTGGCAAGCACAGGTTTTTAAGAATTTTGTGAGTTTGAGAAAATAGACATTTTACTGACTGTAGTAATGGTTTTAGTTATGGCAAAGACTGGGAAGTGAAAAATTACAACATCCTACTACCCTCCCCTCAAACAACTGCAGAGTGATATAATCTCCTTCTCCTGCTGCTACAGAAGCAGGACTCACCTGTTTAGTGTGTCCAACCATAACTGTTTGACATCCGCTGAAGGAAAGGTCACCACATTATTAGCAATGGGCCACCCCAGAACGAACGATCTTTCCGCTGATTTATTAGTTTCACAAACTTCTTCCAAACAAGAACCGACCCACATCTCATTAACTCTAATCTTTTGCTTCAGTCGGAAATTCGTTCCCGATCTATGAAAACAAAGAAAAACAATTTTTACAGATTAGATAAAGTATTTTTATTCTGTTTATTTGAAGAAAAAAAAATCATTTGAAAATATGAATAACATAAATATTTATGTTTTACATTTTTAAAGAACTTACTTAGTTTTTGCAATCAGGAGAACATCGTTGAAGAGAAAGAAGTATCTGTGCTGGGACTGAACGCCGGTTGTAAGTTGTACAGGACCTTCCATGACGTACGCCCTATTACCATTATAATCCATCATGGATTTCTCAGTTGACAAACTGCAAATAAAACACATCCTGTGTTAAATTCATTTTACACCTGTTGCTTAGGAAACACTGACTACCAGCCATCTTGTATATTGCATTCTGGGAAGACTTGTAATGGGATTTGGTTTGAGTAACCAAAGAATCATCATAAACAATTACAGAATATAACATAATTTATTTTCAAGGATAAATGCTACCACCGCACTTAATTATTTTCTGTAGTTTGACAAACAAGTGGAAAAAAATATTGGAACTATTTTTTAAACTCCATTGATCTATGAATGTTTGTCTATTTGGTGTAAAATCAACAAAGAACTTATAGTAAAATACATAATATGAAAATTCGCAAATTATTTGAACTCAATATTTGAAAAAATTATACCTAGGCTTAGATTTGCTCGAAAATGTCCGACTGAGAACATGTGTGGGCGCTGATCTTCTCCTTATCTGTAATGACTTGGATTTCTGTGAAACAAAGGAGAAAACAAACAGAAACAGTGAGATATTGTCATAAAAAGAGAATTATTTTTACACCAAGTGAGAAGATATACTGTTTGGCATTTAAAGGTGGACATGAGTCGACTGTATTCATTAGAAGGAATGACACAACAGGGAGAGAAAATATTGACATTTAAAGAAATCAAACTAAACAACATGGACTATAATGTTTTCAACTGAAGTGAGACAAATCCAACAGTAAATACAGAATTGTCATTAATTCTATGGCAACAGTGGATAATGGGATTTGTAAATAGACTTTACAGTAATTATATGTAGTATATACTTGAATGTAAGACGATTAATTAGCAGGATGAAGGACTGTGAGAAGGAGAGAAAGAAATAAGTGGTATTCTTGCTTCATGGTATGCTGACGTTACTGTGTACAATAGGGAATTACATTCTCTAAACACTTCAATGTTTAATACCATTTTTTTTTTAAAGTTAATTTATTTTCGCTATTTTTGCTGAAGGGATGATTCCGTGAAAATAAAATCCAGCGAATATACTTTTTTTCCTTTATTTCACATTAAACTCATAAAAAAGTCAGTGAAAATAAATTCCAAGCAAAACGCCCAAAAAGGCTTTTCAGCGAAAATTAATTCCAGCGAAAATAAAGTATTCCACAGTATTCAATGTACTGTAAAATGACTAATTTTCACATGTTTTTAAATTTCACTGATTTAGTATTTCAGGCATATTCATTTGATTTCAAATTTCATGGCTTTATCATTCAGATAATGTGTTCTATGCTAAATTTTACATATTCACTGGGTTTTATTTTAACACATTTTCAGGGAAATAAGCAAAACTAAAACCGAGTGAATAATTAATCCTTTTACAGTATTCGATTTTAAATCAGATATACAGCTTTTCACCACCAGTTCCCTATTTTTATCACAAATTCACAAAATACTAAAAAAATTTACACAAATTTTTGGCTTCAAAATTAGGGTTAATTTTCAGAAATATTGAAGACTATAAGAAAAAAAAGTGCAGAAAAATTTGGGCAAGAAAGTCTGGTGATGAAAAGGTTATACCTGCACAACTTTGACATGTTGAAAATAAAAGCTTAATTCAATTTCAAAAAATTACATATCACAATAGGGTTTGTATTGAATAGCAGCTCAAATCTACAGAGGGGGGAGGGGGAGTTACACAATATCTCATTAAAAGAGGTATAATTGTGAAATAAAAGAGACACAGTATACCATAGTAAATCATCATAAGTTGTTTACTGGCAAACCCTAGCTGTGGTACACACTGGGAACCACCCAGCACAGGAGCTTGTAAACAAGATATCATCTGAAAGGCAATGTGCCTAGGTAATCAACACGTTTTGTTTGAAGACAATAAAATGACTGAACCATCCTGATAGCCCATTTACAACTGCTATAATTTAATCTAAGTTTAAATGAGAACCTTTTTTAATGATCTCTTTCATGTTATGGTTTTTGTGGTTGGTGCGATACAATTCAGAGACATTCCAAAACTTTACAGTGTGTGTCATTATATAACAAAAGTCGTACAAAATGCAGCATTATGTAGAAACAAAAACTAAGAACTATCCACTCTGTGATGTGTAAACCTTTGAAAATAGTGATGTTGAAAACAAGGTGTTTTATTTCATATTGGGCAGAAATGTCAGTAACATAACATATTATTTCCTTCTTTCTCATAATGTTAACCCCTTATCTATTCATTTGTGTAGATTTCTTAAGGGAGTTCTCGTCAATTTTTTGTAAGGTTGAATCTGAAGATATAAATGGTTTACTAAGATGATTTTGCAAATAAGTCTAATTATTATAAAACGCATTTTCAAAAACAGTAAATTAAACACCCCCACCCATGATTTTAAAATAATGGTATGCTCCAAGCACACATTATTCATTGGATTAATCCATAATCTGGATATAATAGGGGGGTTACCATACCTGTAGGATTACAGCATGTTTCTCCATTAACTGCAGGTTATCATGCGGAAACCGCTCCTGGACCTGCTCAAGTTTGTTCTGGTTCTCGGCAACCTGAATCTCATTGTCTCGCTCCTTCACCATCTAGAAGCAAATAGAAAGTGAGGGTGAGGTCAGTTATAGCTGTCAGCGCAAGTTCAAATCACTTGAGAAAAGGCATTAACGCATTGTAAACATGATAATGGAGGACAAGTTTAGACTGTCACTTCAGTGAATAGCTTCTAAGTATAAACTGGAAACAGTTCTGGCTTTAAAAAGCAGGAAGGACAGTACAATACTAAACAGTATAAACTTTACAATACTGAATGAATATTCAATTAATTAATACTTTCACTCGGTTGCTGTGAGCTATTCTGAACCAATTCAAAAATCTGGCAAAAAATAGCAGCAAGGAGTAGTCAAACCAAATGAAATTAGATTTGATACAAGCATATTACCAAGGAGCATACATGTGGAGTGGCAAGTATGATAATACTCACAATTATCAGTATCACTGAGTTCTTCAGGACAATTGCATTTAAATTGTTATTTAACTTAAAATATTTATTCTTGTTTTCCAGTATTATGAATGTATTTTATTAAATAAATAAAAAAAGATCTACCAAATACAAGACAATTTGCAATTCCTCTATCTATGGAATGCGACCACAAGGACATTATCGTATATTTTAGTCATCAATCAGTGATAGATCTACAACCGACTGGTTCTACTCAGTGAACATGTCAAATCATTACACAATTATATTTGATTAGGTAAAATTAAGTCGGAAGTAATGAGACCTGCCCAACCTTTAGTCTTTGAATGGGGGGGAAACGTGAGATGTGTAAGTTTCAAATGACTGGTCAATTACATTTACCAACCAACACTTGTCTAGAATATTTTCCTTTAATTGACTGACTCAGAACCACTTGAATGTCACTGAGACATAAAAAACTTTCTTCGCAGTCAGCGACAAAAAAATGTGGCTAATTGTTCATGCTATGGAGCCCAGCCCGCCAAGTACTCAAAGAGAATTTGACTCGTTTTAAATTTGTAGCAATAGTCTACATTTTTAGCGCACTTGAGTTTACCCTGTGTATGACGCCAGTATGAAATGTACGTGGTGTGGTAAGCGGTGATGTAAAGCTAAAGCTGAGGACACGTGCATGTGTGAAAACATATCTGGCGATTGTACACAGTCAAGTAGATATGGCTCCAGGTAATCTGGCTGCCACTCTGGCTTGGTGTACTCGTCTCAAGATTTGTGTCAATTGTCTTTTATAGGACAGAATGGTATCAATAGGGCAGTTATATTTAGTCAAATGTACATGATACCAAAATGGAAAATGCTAGAATATATGAACTAACGCATGACTTACGTTATTGACTTTATCAACAACCGGACACAGGTCTCCATAGGCCGGATGAGACACTGGCGTCTTATCAAGCAGTGTACTTAAATACTGGTCATATTGTGGTATTCTTTGCACCTATCAGGAATAAAACATAAAACGGCACAAGTTAGATATAAAAGGCAAAAGGAGACAGCACAGCTAGCAAAAGGTGCATCAACTGGAACGGTTTATGGACGACACTTAAAGTCGGTTGTCGGCTGGGATACATGAAACCTGAGCAGAGAGGTGTGTCGTAACCATTTTTAGAAATCTCATCTACCTGCTCGTCATTCATCCAAGCAGTTGGTGTTCTCTTTCTCACAGCTAGACCATGTCCCTGATCTTGCACCGTGTTACCAAGCCGCATAATTCAACACAGAAAAAAACAGCCGACATGATGTCTACGGCATAACTCAACAATACGTCCTTGTGTTTATGTGCGCTGTGGTATAATGACGGATGGCACTTAGCCAAAGAAATCTGAAAACCATTGGCCTTTTAATATGCAAACACACTGCTAGGCTATGTAAATGCAAATAGCACAATTGCAATAGAATACAATAGAGGCTACACAATGACTTCACGATGTATTCTCTTCATGGCTGTTCTATTCAACGGCAAGGCATTGCGACACTGTGCATCTCAAAATACCCCTGACCCATTTTAAACCTCCCATGAAAAAAGATCACACACGTACATAGTCTTGGACCCGCCTTCTAATTTCTCAACTGATCTGCTCTCACGTTCGAGGCCGATAAGAAAATATTGACATATTTAAGCTATATCTTCAGCACGTTTAAGCCACATGACTCGCCGAGATTATACAATTTTTCAAACATCTCTTTTTCTTCCTGCCATTATAAAATGTCAAACTATACTCAGTGCACTTTTTTTCCAGAACTTCATCAAAACTTTCAGAACTTTAAATTAAAGTACATTTTTTCAATCTTTCTACTTCACGAGTTTGTTCATTTTTTCTGTTGTTATAAAACATCCAGTTTTACTTCAAGAGACACAAGGTGAGCCAAGACAAATTATACAAGATTATAGAGTGTGAGATTTGTGAAAGATCTACAGAATAACCTGACTGCAACCTATTATTACTAGATGACCTGGATGTCACCTAAGTTGGCAATCTTTATTGTCCTCCTTACAAAAGCCCCAACAACAGTAAACTTTGCATTCTAATGTAGAAGTTTAAAATTGCATAATTTTAGCCAAAGAGGCCATACAATAACAACTTTGAAAAGGATCATTTCATTTCAAGAAAAGGGGTAGAGGCTACTGGCTTGAGGGTACAGGGCTTTATATGACTTTTTCCCCTGAGACTAACTATTTTTTTTTTATTTTTAATATTTTTATTTATAATTTCTTGCTTCTCGTAGTAGATAGCATATAACCTAGACCAAGATTTGGATGTTGCCAGCAGCAACAACAGTACATTAGAGACTGTCTTTATGATAGACCTTTGACTTTTGGAGAATCATTTACTATTTTTCACAGAGACAGACTTCATTGTTTCGTGAGGCAGTAAATTTATCGAAATTCTGGAAATTTCCACCTGAATGGCAACTAGAACAAACAACACCATGAAAGGATCCACAACATCTCTCCCTAACATGCACCAATTCCACTGCAAAGCTGTGGGAAATGACAGTGCATATAAAATCAAATCATAAAACAGGAATACCATTCATTGGAATTTGCTGCCAGTTATACCATTACTAGAGGGAAGCGTTGACTGATAGCGAAAAAACAGTAGCCCCAGGGAACTAAAACTGACCAAGAAATGTCATTCAAATTAGAATATTTAGGACAGACAGACGCCATAACATTGACTAATCTGTCTGCTAATTGGTGGAAATACTGACCAATAAGCACTAGTCGAAAACAGATTAACCAGTTATAGATAGATGTGTTTGTACTATACACAGTTTCAAGGAGTTTGGTTGTCATCATTCATACATGTAGTACCCGGTATATGACGCAAGGCAAAGATTTGGGTGTGGATTCTGACGCAAAATGGCATACATGGTAATGGGTATAATGAATGCAAACCATTCACCAATATTGTGATAACGTAATCCAAAGCAAAAAGATATCAATACAACACAGAAGCAGTGAACAGACTCATACAAACTTATGAACAAGTTTTCCTGAACTTAAAACTTTTTGTGAGTTTTTTGATTTTTTACTTATTGTACTAATTAGGTCCCACAGAAAAAAAAATTGTACCTGTAACTAGAATTGTTTCCATGGCAACATACTGTCAACTATTCTGAAATCATAAACATTGACTTAAATGTAATAATCATACTGGGGTTGAAAATTAATTTCTAAACCCAGATTTTTTCTCAATGCCTGCAAATGCACCTCGGTGGCATATGAGATGCAAAAGCTATGGTCTAACATGTGGGACTACCTGAGCCACATAAAGGAACTCTCAGTAAATAGCTGTGCCAGAGCACAAAGTCATTGGCTCATGCAGAAACAGTCAAGCATTAAATAACAAGGGATCAATTTTCACTTTTTTATGCCTATTTTTAAACACAAGGCCATGAGCACTTTTATCTCTTAAATTTAGTTGAGACACGCACCTTTGACGATAAAAAAAAAAAGAAGAAGAAACGATTCTATAGAAATGGATGAATAAAGCAGAACAAACGTGAGCCCAACATCAAAGCGAGCTGTGTTTGTACAATTTCATTGAACTCGTACCTTGCACTGTTCTAGTTAAAAGAGTACCCACGGCACTGTGACTGAGAAAGATGTTAACAGTCACGTCCACCCGATGCGACCCTTGACCTCACAGACAGTACAATGGCCAGTCCTGATATCAACACTGGCAACCATGTGCTGGGGAAAGCAAACTCAGAAGACAAGGAGTTTGTGTTGACACTGTACGCCTACGATATTTCCTTTTGCTCTTCAAAGAACAGAAGATTGAATGAAATCACGCAGGTATATAAGACTAAAGACGCTAGCCTACCGTTCTCAACAATAAAGCGCATTGATATAGTGGTATTACATACCATGGTTATAAAAGTTTACAGCTTTTATACAAACACTACAATCAAAGTACTTTTCACCAATCACATCCACATCCTATTACCCGTGCTGATAAATAGAGTTCTACAGAAATTAGAATGATACCTGCCACCCCTATAGTCCTTACAATAGATCCTCCCGTCAAACTCATGCAATATAAACATACCAATATGAGTAAAAGTTAAGGTAGCTTCCGTCAGGTCACAGTGATTGAACATAATTACTTTGCTGTGAGTTGTGATACTCCTAGATATAGTTATGAGAACATTTATTTAATATAGGTTTTAGTAGGTTAATACAGTTAATGTAATTTTCAACTACATGTATATTACTGGTAAACCATGTTTTGCTTCGGAAACAGTAAGCACCTGGATGCCAGTAGAAGAGAGTGTGTCCAGTTTCAACTATTTTTATTATCGTAAAATTACCTGAGAACAATTCACTTCAAACACGCTTAAATTCTCCAGTACTAAGCGGTTGTCATGCGGCAAGGTTTGAAATGTAGAACATTGACAAAAGTAATCAATCAAAGTTAAATGCTTTTTGTAAACTTCAACAATTCAGCTGCTCGAAGCTGACAATCCTGTCATATAATTTACCTGAAGACTGAAGTACATTATCAAAGTTACGATAACGGCAGTCAACCAGAAATGTGGGACATTGTGAGATTTCAAACACTGATTGAACTTTGTAAATAAAAAAGTAACCGAGATGTGATCACAATTGTCATTGTACTGTGCTGCTTGGGCACTATTTTATGGATTGCCTCATCACAACTGCTACATACTTGGGTTCCTAAAATACCAGCCCTCCTGATGTGGACAAATTGGAATCCTTGCCTGGGTTGGGTGATTGTCTTATCAGTCACTGTCAACAGAAACAGTAGCTGTGTACAATATCATGAGCTCAATTAAAGTTATATCTCTGATAAGACAACCTCACTAGTTGTGTAACAGTTGTTGTTGTTGTGAGGCTACAATATATATTTACAGTTACCCAGTGCAGAAATGTTATCAAAAACTCAGATAGAAATATAACTTTCCAATCAAAATATTTACTAAAAAATATTGAATACTTCAAGTGCTGGGATGGGCTAGTGATTATGATGCTACATGCACGGCATCATGTTTCCAATGATGTTCACAGTGACACGAAGAGATGGCATGAAAATGAACAGAGGAAATATACAGAAATTTATCACCATGACAGGCACAGGTCTGAATTGCCAGGTACTTTTGTATCTGTACTGTGGATTCCTATCAAGATTTCAGCTACGTTCATAATATAAAATCTACTAGACATGCCTTATGCATGACCCCTAAAGGTCACACATCCTGGTACTTTCAGGGAGTATTATGTTCCATCATAGCAAGAATTTCCAATAATATACATCAATTGTTACGATGTTTAACTGTTTTTGAATTTCAAAGATAACTGCTTGCATTTTTGTGAGAAAATAATAATTAAATTTGAATTGATAGTAAATTTGTACCCCCAGAAAGTACCAGGATGTGTGACCTTTTGGAGGTCATGCATATGGCCTATTGACAACGAATACATCCAAAATGAAGATTGTCCACAAAAATAATTGAAAAAAAAAATACTACCGGTACATGTGTATACTGGGAAATTCAATACGCCTTGAAAAATGTTAACTCTGTACCAAAACAAACAACACAAAACATACAACTGAGGGGTAAAGTTTCTGAAAAGAATGTGAAAAATATGCTAATATGGTCTTATGTCATGCTGAGCTGCTTACCAATAAACCCCTACTATGCTACTTAACATGCATAATGATAACCAAGGTACGGCCACTAACTGTGGTACGACCACCTTAGAAGTGAGTAAACACTAACTTTTTTAAAAACAAGGAGAAAAGGAAATATTTCAAAAATATAATCAATATTGATTATGTTTGAGAATCAAAAATCTATGAAAATTGGGTGTATAATCATCTTGAGTAATCTTCACTGCTAGCCTTAAAATCAACCATTGGGAAGTTGAGAAGTCAACCATTGGAACTATGAATGGGCAGATTGTGGGAA